ACAGTTCCACCAATTTAATTGAACAGACCTCCAAACGGTCCGTGATTCTGTAATAAGGAGGACCCAAATTGCATCCATGCTTAAATTCACATCCTTAAATATTGAATAACAGATGTTTTTTTTTTATTTCTTCAAATATTTAGAACAATTTGACATTAGTCCATGCTTACTGTTCATTTTTTTCAGAAATGGATGCTTGCAACATATTTTATTTGCTCATTTTTAAAAGATGACTTTTTGTGGACGTCTCATGGTGACAACATTTCTGTAGAATATACTTTTCCCAGTGAATACTTCATGTGTTGATATCTACTGTGATCGTTTTGTGTATATTTAAATATATATACCTATGTTGAAAGACGTGCATAATGTCAAATCATAAAAATACAAATTGTAAGATTTTTGCTGCTATTTTTGCTAAAAAGGTGCAATTTGGGCTATTCTGTGCAATTTGGGTACTGTGACGTTACACTTATAAAAAGTTCACATCATATTGAACATGAGTACTAAATTTCAAGTTGATGTGACAACAATTTCATGGTAAACTACCATAATCTAAACACTTAAACCTGATACAGGACTGACTAAAGGATGCACAGAGGTACAGACCTGATACAGGACTGACTAAAGGATGCAGAGGTACAGACCTGATACAGGACTGACTAAAGGATGCACAGAGGTACAGACCTGATACAGGACTGACTAAAGGATGCAGAGGTACAGACCTGATACAGGACTGACTAAAGGATGCACAGAGGTACAGACCTGATACAGGACTGACTAAAAGATGCACAGAGGTACAGACCTGATACAGGACTGACTAAAGGATGCACAGAGGTACAGACCTGATACAGGACTGACTAAAGGATGCAGAGGTACAGACCTGATACAGGACTGACTAAAGGATGCACAGAGGTACAGACCTGATACAGGACTGACTAAAGGATGCAGAGGTACAGACCTGATACAGGACTGACTAAAGGATGCACAGAGGTACAGACCTGATACAGGACTGACTAAAGGATGCAGAGGTACAGACCTGATACAGGACTGACTAAAGGATGCACAGAGGTACAAACCTGTTACAGGACTGACTAAAGGATGCAGAGGTACAGACCTGATACAGGACTGACTAAAGGATGCACAGAGGTACAGACCTGATACAGGACTGACTAAAGGATGCAGAGGTACAGACCTGATACAGGACTGACTAAAGGATGCACAGAGGTACAGACCTGATACAGGACTGACTAAAGGATGCACAGAGGTACAGACCTGATACAGGACTGACTAAAGGATGCACAGAGGTACAGACCTGATACAGGACTGACTAAAGGATGCAGAGGTACAGACCTGATACAGGACTGACTAAAGGATGCACAGAGGTACAGACCTGATACAGGACTGACTAAAGGATGCAGAGGTACAGACCTGATACAGGACTGACTAAAGGATGCACAAAGGTACAGACCTGATACAGGACTGACTAAAGGATGCAGAGGTACAGACCTGATACAGGACTGACTAAAGGATGCACAGAGGTACAAACCTGTTACAGGACTGACTAAAGGATGCAGAGGTACAGACCTGATACAGGACTGACTAAAGGATGCACAGAGGTACAGACCAGACAGGACTGACTAAAGGATGCACAGAGGTACAGACCTGATACAGGACTGACTAAAGGATGCAGAGGTACAGACCTGATACAGGACTGACTAAAGGATGCACAGAGGTACAGACCTGATACAGGACTGACTAAAGGATGCAGAGGTACAGACCTGATACAGGACTGACTAAAGGATGCACAGAGGTACAGACCAGACAGGACTGACTAAAGGATGCACAGAGGTACAGACCTGATACAGGACTGACTAAAGGATGCAGAGGTACAGACCTGATACAGGACTGACTAAAGGATGCACAGAGGTACAGACCTGATACAGAACTCACTAAAGGATACACAGAGGTACAAACCTGTTACAGGACTGACTAAAGGATGCTCTGAGGTACAGACCTGATACAGGACTGACTAAAGGATGCACAGAGGTACAGACACGGAAACAGATAGTACATAAAACAGCACATACATTGAACAATTAAACTAATAAATTGAACAAGTAGGCCTGGTAAATTATAGCCATATGAATAAAAGGAAAAGTGGGGTATACATGAATAATTGTTAGGTTATGGTTAGTGATTTCATTAAAAAGTTTTGAATAAAAGTTCTCTATGAATAGTACAGACTTCTTTTCTTCTAAACAAGTCTGGTTATTCAAATGATGGTTTTCATCCATTTTCATACAAAATGCTAGTAAAATATACTCTTGAGAAAGAATCATCTCAGGATTTACAAAATGGTTCATCAATATCATAATAAGGATTTTTTTAAACATTTTTCCATAATTTTCTATTTATAACTTTAAAGATGAAGGACAAGAGGAATTAATAACCTGATTAACCAAAATATGACTAAACTTCAAATGGGAAGATGAAACAGTTATTTTCACAACACAGTTTACACTGAAACAATTCTCAGAAAAATAAAATTCTATTTTTAACATATTCCATGAGCTTTAATGGTTGCAAAGGATCATTTATTTTTTTTTAGAATCTATCAAAGTTGTACAATATTCAACATCAATTTTGCATTGAGGAATTTCCTGCTCATATTATCAACTTTTTGTTTTTAAAACTATAGTGCATGGTATACAACTAATTTACATCTTCTGGAGAGTCCTAACCAAAAATAAAACAAAACAGCAGAAATTTTCACATAAAATTCAGTAAAAATGAGGTTTTGTTACTATCTTAATGCAATAACTGTCTTATTTTTTATTTCTGAAAAAGACTCAGATATACAGCTTCCAAATTTGAGTTAAAAAGTGTTCATAGGACAAGATGCTAGGTTCGCACTTTTATATTCCCATGTTCAGTGAATTTGCCAATTTGGCAAATAATTTAAATACCAGTACCGTTTTTCATTTCATAATGAACAAGTGTACTAAGTTTCAAGGCAATTATAAGTCAAAAATGCCGTGCTTCACTACCTTTACCAAAAACTTTAACCTGGGAATGTACAGGATTCACACTATCACATTTGTATGATCAGTAAACCTGGAAATCGGGGTAAAAAAGTAGCCTTGCATACAATTTAAAAAGTACCTAACAAAGTGAACATGTGTACTAAGTTTCAAATTGATGTGACCACAAATTCTTGGAAAACCATAGGACAGAATATAAGATTAATGGAATATTAGACAGACAGACAGACCAGAAAACATAATGCACCCCTACTACCAATTCTCTTACCTGCGTTTAACTGGACTTGATGTTTTATAAGCTATCATATTTTTTAACTGACCATTTTGTAGCAAGAAAACATGTAATGTTAGATAGTGTTATTATAGTATTGAATTTTCTTAGTACTGTGGATTCATTATTATTCGTTGGATACCAATTTTCGTGGATTTCGTGGGTACAGGGGAACCACGAATTTAAATGTTCAACAATTGCAAATTTTCTATAGGTTTGTATGCAGACTTTGACAAAACCACAAAATCAAATATCCACAAAATTACAGGCATTCCTCAATCCACGAAAATTGGTACCCACGAAATTAAATGAATCCACAGTAGGTAAATGATAAGAATGATGAATGCAGATTTTCTTCCCAGTTCACAGAATATCAAATATCTGAATGACCTTCAAAATAAACTTATTAAAATAAATTCTGTTATAAGAAAAGAAGCTTTGTTAGGAAACTCACAATACCACATGCCATAAACTTAGCTCTAGCAACAGCTTATTGGTATAATGACAAAACTGTTTGGTTCCAATCCAATAAAGGGTTTTGTGGTAATTATCTAAAAATCCATTATATGTGACCATATATTCAAATTTGATTTGAATTCCATGTAAGGCTCCAGAGATATAATACAGAAACACCTTTTCTGAACTATTGCTGGTCCATTTGTAGTAGCTGTGACCTTATTCTTAAAACCAAGAATTAAGACCTTAATATCAAAAGGGATCTTCCTCTCATTATTTGTGACCATATATTTAAGTTTTATTCCAATCCCATGTAAGGTTCTAGAGATATAATCAAGAAACTCATTCCCTGAACTTATTTAGGTTTAATTTTAGAAACTATGACCTTGACCTTAGATATAGTGACCACAGAATCAAAGAATAATTCCCTCTTGTCATATATTACCATATATCAAGTAAAGTCAAAATCCCATGTAGGGTTCTAGAGTATGAAAGGTTCTATGGTTATAATTGAATAATTCCACTCCCCAACATTTTCAATCTATTCTTAATAACTATGACCTTGAACTTTGACAAAGTGAACTCACAATAAATATGGATCCTCCTCTCATTACATGTGCTGATGCATTCAAGTGCGGAGCGAAATGAGATATAAAGTTTTTGATTTATCAAAGGGAATCCAAGCTGACTGGCAGACTGAGACTGACTGATTGATTGACAGACTGGCAGACTGAGACTGACTGATTGATTGACAGACTGGCAGACTGAGACTGACTGATTGATTGACAGACTGGCAGACTGAGACTGACTGATTGATTGACAGACTGGCAGACTGAGACCGACTGATTGATTGACAGACTGGCAGACTGAGACTGACTGATTGATTGACAGACTGGCAGACAGAGACTGACTGATTGATTGACAGACTGGCAGACTGAGACTGACTGATTGATTGACAGACTGGCAGACTGAGACTGACTGATTTTAACAGACTGAATTTGACTGATTGACAGACTGGCATACTAAGACTGACTGACTGAGACTGACGGACAGATTGACAGACTGACAGACTGAGACTGACTGACTGATTGACAGACTGACAGATTGAGACTGACTTACAGATTAGCATACTGGTCAAAACCTATATACCATTGGTACTTAGTAGTATCATGGGGTATAATAATTCACAGTAATTGTATTAAAAGAAAAAGGTTGATTTGTTTACATACCTTGTCTTACAAAAGTCTGGTTTACATCCAAAAGAATGTCACATCCTTCAACAATCATCCTTTCTATGGATAAGTTTTTCCTGATATTTTCTGTCTCACTAACTTCATCATGCATTATCTGTTTATAAAATTGTATAAGTAATTATAATAAAATATTCAACAAAATAATATCCCCATTATCTTGTTTCACAAAAAAAACATCAATATTTGTTTACATTGTTTAAACCTAAAGTGCATGCAGTGGTGTGAGCTCCACATCTCCTTTTATTCATATTAAATTAAATTAAATAGTTTTATTATTAAATAACAGAAGTCACATGAAACATTTTGTTGGACATGCATGCTTAAGTATTTATTCTGATAATTTAAATAAAACAAAACAAAATGAATTTCCAAGTTTCAGTATCCTTTTCCAGATATTTATTCATTGGAATACATCCTGATTACAAGGAAATGAAATTGTTTATTACCAATAGTTTTTCAATACTTTTTTTCGTAGAAAAAGTAATAAAATACACAACAGAGAATTTGGAACATTAAAATTTCAAACTAGTGTTTTATTTCATATTTGTTTTCTCTTCATTCTATATCATTCTGTATGAAACATATAGTTTCAGATGTTTCATGCACATTTCATAATAAAATGAAGGCACCAGAAATGTTTATAAAATCTACTGTAGACACACTATAGCACTAGACATAGCAAAATACTGGACACAGTCATTTCGATGTTAAGGTTCAATTTCAATCCCTTCAACCCTCATAAAGTGGAAAAAAGTAAGACTTATGTAAAATCTGTTGATCATGCTTTTGAAATCTCTCATTTACACAAATATTAAGAAAACAGTCAAATTCAAAGTAGATGAAAAATAAAATTTCTACTTGTTTCGTATACAAGACTTGTTTGTACTAAAACTGTACCACATTAACTGTTTTACCTTAAACTGTACCACTTTTACTTTTTTACCTTAAAATGTACCACTTTTCCTTTTTTTTTTTACCTAAAACTGTACCACTTAACTTTTTTTACCTTTACCTGTACCACTTTTATGTTATTACCTTAAACTGTACCACTTTTACCTTTTTACCTTAAACTGTACCACTTTTATGTTATTACCTTAAACTGTACCACTTTTACCTTTTTACCTTAAACTGTACCACTTTTATGTTATTACCTTAAACTGTACCACTTTTACCTTTTTACCTTAAACTGTACCACTTTTACCTTTTTACCTTAAACTGTACCACTTTTACCTTTTTACCTTAAACTGTACCACTTTTGTACCACTTTTACCTTTTTACCTTAAACTGTACCACTTTTGTACCACTTTTACCTTTTTGCCTTAAACTGTACCACTTTACCTTTTTACCTTAAACTGTACCACTTTTATGTTATTAACTTGAACTGTACCAATTAAACCTTTTTACCTTAAACTGTACCACTTTTATGTTATTACCTTAAACTGTACCACTTTTATGTTATTACCTTAAACTGTACCACTTTTACTTTTTTTTACCTAAAACTGTACCATTTTAACTTTTTTTACCTAAAACTGTACCACTTTTACTTTTTTTTTTTTACCTAAAACTGTACCACTTTAACTTTTTTTACCTTAACCTGTACCACTTTTATGTTATTACCTTAAACTGTACCACTTTTACCTTTTTACCTTAAACTGTACCACTTTTATGTTATTACCTTAAACTGTTCCACTTTTACCTTTTTACCTTAACCTGTACCACTTTTATGTTATTACCTTAAACTGTACCACTTTTACCTTTTTACCTTAAACTGTACCACTTTTATGTTATTACCTTAAACTGTACCACTTTTACCCTTTTACCTTAAACTGTACCACTTTTGTACCACTTTTACCTTTTTACCTTAAACTGTACCACTTTTGTACCACTTTTACCTTTTTACCTTAAACTGTACCACTTTACCTTTTTACCTTAAACTGTACCACTTTTATGTTATTAACTTAAACTGTACCAATTAAACCTTTTTACCTTAAACTGTACCACTTTTATGTTATTACCTTAAACTGTACCACTTTTATGTTATTACCTTAAACTGTACCACTTTTACTTTTTTTTACCTAAAACTGTACCATTTTAACTTTTTTTACCTAAAACTGTACCACTTTTACTTTTTCGACCTTAAACTGTACCACTTTTACTATGAAATGTCAAGAAAAATCATGCACATTCGTATTGGAATAAATATGTTCACAATTTGTGTGGAAAGGTAAAATATCTGACTCAGCAGCAGTCTTTTACAATTCCTGAGCTTATCTAGACTCATACTTAAATGTTGTGCTACACCTTCCCTCTCTTTTGATGCTTCCAGAAAATATATTTTGAGCACTACCCAACTGTATTCATACTTATAAAATTCACACTATGAGATTAAATATGAAAATCAGTTCTCTAAAACAGCAAGTAAGCAAAACCAGTATCTTTTATTGAATCTATGTTGGAGCTCTTTACAAAATAGGTTTTACTACAAGTATTACAAAAACTTAACATTATCAATAATCCATATATAAAAATGCTGAAATTGGTATAAAATGATAAAGACAATTCCTGCGGTGCAGACAGCAGGGTACAATAACTAAAAAGAGAGGGAACTTTCCAAGGGGCAATCAAAAATCATCCTAACAACACGGTAAAAAATAAACAACATTTACATAACACTACACAGAAACTAAATATGGGCAACAGGAACCCAACTAAAAGTGGAAATGAAATCAGATGCTCTGGAAGGGTAAGCAGTTCCTGCTTCACTAGCATCACTCATTGCAAGTAAAAATATAGCATTACCTAGCATTCATTAATGTTCCTATAGAGGAAAAGAGGAGAAGATTGTGGTTACGACAATTGCAACATATCTGTGGTCATCATTGACATAGATAATCCATATTGGTAAACCAAATCATGATGGCATATGTAGGGACAACTCTGACTTAAGCATTTGGAACCCTTGATAAAAAAAGCTTTCTTGTAAGCAGTAGTCCTCTATCAAGAAATAATGTCAGGAAATGCAAGCTCACAAATATTGTATCAACTGAAAGATATATACTCCATTTGCAAGTCCTGATGGAATGTTGCTACACAGGAATGGAAAGTTCCCAATGGGAAAATTGAAATCATCTCTTTTGTCACAAACTTTACAACTGACTCTCAATGTAAAAATAAGGAGATGTGGTATGATTGCCAATGAGACAACTATCCACCAAAGTTCAAATGAAGTGGATGTAAGCAATTATAGGCAACCGTACGGCCTTCAGTTGTAACACCACTAATTCGGGCCCGGCCAGAAAGCACATACCAGAAAGTAGTACATATTTAACACAAAATAGTTCCTACGCATGGGTGTAACTTTCAAAATATGTAGAATATTTAGATAATGTTGGTATCAAATGAAAGCTGAATGACTGGTGATCATTGTAGAACACTTTTTGACTTATAATTTTGAAAAATAAAAAAATTGCATGAAATTTAAAAAAGACGGTACATTTTGCCTGTTTGTCAGATCTGAAGTACCTGTTTTGGTATATCTGAAGTTCCAGGAACCAGTTCTTTCTTATATGCCATTAAAGGTATGTTGATTTTTTCAGTACATTAGGCACCATAAAGTGTTGCTTTGACATGCAATGATTGTCACTTTATTTGATCTTGAAACAAAAGAGCTGTGCCTGCTTGAAATTAGGGAATTTAACATAGAAAGCAATGGGGCCATGAATTAGTGGTGTACTTCCTTCAACAATGAGCAGTCATTTTCTAGATGTTAGTCAATATGAAGCAGATTTGACTGTACCTGTGGTATCCTTTATTTCAAGTTTATTAGGATATATGCAGTCAGCAAAGTCACCAATCTTTGAATCAATGAAAGGACTACATCTACATAGAGGAACATACCAGCTTCTTTTCTTGAGAAGCTCCTGTATAAAGTCTGTCTCATAAGAATAAAGGAACAAGTTGGTTGCTTGTTTTTGAATCCTTTTCATTTTATGTAACCTGGTATAATGAGCTATATCACTATGTGATGATATATTCAAATTAATATTGTTTAATGAAGTGTGACGGGATAGCTTCCCTTAGAACATTTTAGTAGATACTTAGGTCAGCCATAAGCGGTTGAGCTAAGGAAGTACTTCTTTAGCTCAGTTGGTTAACACGCTGCCTTGTAACACAGAGGTCCTGGGTTCGAGTCCCGGTGGAGACATGCGATTTTGCAAGTAGAATCATGCTCTCCGGTTATATTGGTGCCCAACAATAAAAACCCATGGTTAGAAGAAATACATAGCCAGGTTAAAACATAAATATTAAAAAGATGAAGATATCATCATTATAGAGTATAATGACTCTTGAGGTGGGGGAAGTGTGACGAGATTGCTTCCCTTAGAAATTTAGTAGATACTTAGTCAGCCGTAAGCGGTTGAGCTAAGGAAGTACTTCTTTAGCTCAGTCAGTTAACGCGCTGCGCTGCCTTGTAACACAGAGGTCCCGGGTTCGAGTCCCGGTGGAGACATGCGATTTTGCAAGTAGAATCATGCTCTCCGGTTACACTAACAAAGCAACAGTTGGTTCCCATAGGAATGCTGATTGTCTGTTAAAAACAGGTCCTTCAAATGTAACAAAATAATGTGTCACTAAAAAAATCCAGCATTCAGGTGATGTCACCTTAATTATGATAAACTTAACATTAATGATAATCAGGCAGAGTAAAAAAGGGTAATTTTTTAATCCCTGATAGACATCTATGTACTGGTAGAAATAACACACATGTTTTTCCTCATATATTTTTAGCTATAACTAATGACAAGATCTTTGTAGTTAAATATGCTATAACATTTAGTCTGAAAGGGGACCCTACAGCAAGTAGAGAGTTAGCATAGCCAATCTATGCTACCCCAACAGCACATTTATTGATGTTCTCCTACATATGCAATTATATAAGACAAAAAAATAAAGAAAAAGAAAAATAAGTCATAGTCATCTAGAACCAAAATTGGCATAAAAATTTTCTACAGATCCCTCATATTCAGAAAAACCTTTTGGAACATCCACCTTAAAAATTTTGCAGGGTTTACCTTAAACCTGGATTAGCTGAATAACTTTGATGAAAAATAAAAATAGTTCTAATACAAGAGATTTATTTAGAAACCTAGATTCTGGTGATATATTCAACTATATATAGCTGTCATGGGTTTACAAATGCTTCTTCTGGAAACAAAATACAGAAATCCCTTCTCCCACCCTTTTGAAGAAAAACTGTGCAGGGTTCCCCTGAACCTGGCCTACCTGCCAGGTCTGAGAGGCTCATTCCTAATATAAATGTAAAAATAAAAAGCCATTGTTTAAAGATTTTGTTCAGAAACCAAGGTATAACTATCTATTTTTGTGTCAACCATTGTCCATTTGATCTATTTATTGACTACGAAATCAACAGACTTTGCCTCTTTCCTCCTATCTTTCACTACTATAAGTATATTAAATCCAATCAGTGTACATCAAGCCATCACCCAGAAACAACAAATTGCACCTCATATTTCTATATTTTAGTCTACTTTCATCAGCTATGACCTTGACCGTTGACCTATAAATCAATATAGATTCCCTGCTTTCTATATCTTCTGTCTATAATAAGTTTCATTGTAAATATCAAAGAGTTTCAGAGCCACAAACTATACACTGTTGTTATTTATAACAAGATAAAAAGATCTTTTTGGCAAAATGTCTTCTTCAGTTTCTTTCTCTCTAAACTACATGGCAGATAAGTCACCTTTCACAGAGCATTTAGATGTTAAAATGGTTTTATAAACTACACAATATAAAGTATGTTTCCTTTCGAATTTCTACACAAAAATTGACTAATAAAAGCAAATATTGATAATTCCTTGTTTTGAAATTGGAAGACCCCAAAAATCACATGTATCAAAAATTGAAGTAGCAGGTACAACTTTGTATAGAAGAATGTGTGCAAGTTTGGATGAATTCTGTCTAGACAGCTTCAAAAACTTTTTAGAGGGACGACACAGACAACAATAATGACAAGTAAGGTAACAGAAGTGGTATGTTTGTACTGCTACAACAGAGAAGCAGCAAAAACCAACAGGGGTTTCATTTGTTTTTCATTGGTATCCTGGTTTTCTTAGTATCCCAAAAATTGGTATCCAAACTTAAATTAATGAATCAATAGTATATACATTTCAAGTATAGATTGTCTCTACCTTCTTAAATATTAAACATTGTAGATTTGTCTAGATTAATGCATCTATGTCTTGCCAACAGTAAAATTCTTTGCAGTCAGAAACATAATCATGATGACCGACTGAAAAATATATTGCTAATTCCTTTTTTGGAATGGGAAACCTCAAAAATCAAACAGACCAAACTTAAAATAGAAGATGAAAACTACAACTGCAGTAGAATGTGTTGATTATCTTTTCAATGGAGGAAATTTACAGTCAAAGGGAAATAACTCTACTGAAAAATAAGGATTCCATTGCTAAAAACAATGGTAAGGAGGAAACTTTCTTGGGTGATTTGAAATTGAAGTTTTAAATTCCAATTCTATAGAAAAAACATTGGATGAGTTTAGTGTGATATGTGGCAAGCATTTGATTAAGAAGGAAGTCTGGTGAGTTTTCAGTTCATATTCAGTATATATTTGTTACTGATGATGCCTGTTGGGAATTTCCATTTTATCATTGGTCAGAATATTCATTTAAAGATGTGGATATTTTCCACAACTGTTACAGGAATAATAAGTTTTCATCTAGAATTTTTCAAGCAATTTTCTTTGTTCAATTACCACAATTACTTACGAAATTGCTCAACCATTAACAAAATACCTAAACAATTGATTTAGACATTATAGAAATAAGTGCAGAAAACTGATATTTTTAACAAAGTTTCTATATCCTTAGGGTCCCACCTTTTGCAAAAAGTCCTTAACTGGAACGAAACTCAAATTTGATTGTAATTTGTAGTGATATGTCTATATACCAAATATCTAATCAGTTGAGTCAGCTGTAAAATAAAAAATGTAATACTACTTCCACAAAAATTCCACAATCAGAAGGAAACCACAAACATAAATCATCTTACTGACTGAAATAGGAACTATATGAGATAAAATAAAAGGAATAAAGAAGATGTCCCAAGGGTATACATTGATCACACAGCTACCCGACGACAAACAAAAACATAAGTTCTATATTTTTTCTGTTTTTTTCTCTTGTTTACAGACAATACTCATTTCATCAACTTCATTCAATTTTCAAAAGTAGAAATAGAGCAAGCTCATGCATTTATATATACATTACTTTTTTTTACTTTACTAGGTTATTAATTTGTTACAGTCAAACACTCATTTCATAAATAAAAGAGAAGCATACACTTGTACAGAGTATATAATACAGAAATCTAAATTTCTACATCAAGTACTTTTACTTCTTCTTTAGTCAATCAAATGCTTACTTTTGTTCAAAACATTTGCTTGGAGTGACTGTCAAAATGAATAGTTTTGTAGACTCATCTGTACAACACAAATACAAACCTCATTATATAGTTTCACACCTAGATTTTTTGGCATCAAAAAGATATGTGTATCAGGAAAATATTAACCAAATTTTCAATGCTGTAATTTTGTTAATAGAAGTCTTACCAAAACAAAACAAGAGCAGACAACTGTAAAATTTAAAGGACAGAAAGACAGACAATGGCTTAACTACATGCATATGCCAATTTTGTGGCAGGGGACTTGAAAATTTTATGTTCACTAAACAATAAATGAATACACATTTATACAAAAATAAGGAGATGTGGTATGATTGCCAAAAATACAACTATCTACCCAGTTGATCCACGCTACACTAGACTACACTACAATACATTAAACTACACTAGTTCCAAGTGTTTGAGAGTGTTACTCAACATTCACACTATGTTTGCTCTTCAGCATTATTAAATTAGTAATACTATGTCTTATAATTGTTACATAATAAATGGGCTGGTAAAAAAAAGTATACCAAATTATTTCCACTTGAAGATAAACTGTCTAATTTTGCAAACTTATTTGTGTTTATTGATTTGTATTGAGCAGCATTGTGTTTGATTAACCTACCCTTGATAATTCCTCCAGCTTTCCCTTGGCATACTCCAGACTCTGTCTCTCTACATGGTCATGTGGTGTATGAGCTAGTAGTTCATGGAGAGTTATAATATAGCGAGGTATCTGCAAAAACAATTAAACAAATGTTCTACATTTATGCTGATGTTGTGGCTAGTTAATTCTTATAATGTTTGATAAGTGCTAGCCCTTCTTCAGTATTTTTGCTGCAATCCTATTGTGCCAATTGCTAATTTTGAATTTATTTGATCCAAATTACCTGTATGAATATATATCAATTGGCCAATGTTTACTTGTTGCGTATATAAGTCCTTAATAAATCACGATACCTAAAGTAGATTTGGAATACTGAAAAAAGGGAAATTTTGCAAGGAGCCAATTATGCTAATTTCATGAATAAGATAAAAATCATGAAATATTCCCTTGCATTAATTTGATTCTTAAGGATGAAAATACCAATTTTGAAAATCATATTTAATTACGGAATATATCTCCAGCATGCAAAGCTCTGATTCCTTTTCCTGATTTGGCTATACTTAAGGAATCTTTTGGATTGATCAGCTCTTCCTTTTTTATATAAGTTTTGCTTTTTCAAGTACTTTGGCCTCAAGCATCACTGAAGAGACATTTATTGTTGAAATAGGCATCTGGAACAGTAAAATTGGTACTGCTAATATTATTTTCACTAGTAATTCCACATGATTCCTCTTAACTAGTTATAATACCTGATGCATAGGATATGTAAGAAAAACTTCCACCGATCGCCCTTCACACACTGGTTTTTCTTCATATCTTTTCAGCAGAGCATTAAATTCTGTTTTTTGTTTGTACTCGGCTAGCACCTGTAGACTGTAATGATGGTTACGCACATACTCCTGGTATATACACAGCATAGGAAGTAGCATGTCAAATAAATCTCCTGTAATAAGATAGAACAAAATACATCAGTATTCAAAATAACGAATGCAAATTCACAAATTATTACGAGGTTTTTATTAATGCATTAATGTGACAGGGTGAGTACCTCAATAATAAGAATTCCCATTCTGAAATCTGAAAAATAAATCTGTATGTAGCTTGTCAAAAATTCGCAATAATTAATTGTGCATTTTTCTTAATTCTTCAAAAATCGCAATAGTAAATGCACGAAATATTTCTGCATTTACAGTATTAATTCAGAAATATGATGGAAACTATAGAATCTAAGAATCAATTATTAAAAAATTAGTTCTCAAATGCCGCAATAATTTTTCTTGTTTGTATTCCATTGAACATAGAAATTGAAATATTTTCCTCTATCAATTCTTATATCATTTTTTCTCTAGATTCACTGTAATGTGAAAAAAGGTAACTGTTAAATGTTTTAAAAATAACCTTCAATTAAAAAAACAAAAAAATAAAGGATATGGTCTAAATATATATTTTAAAAACATATGTGGCACCAAAAATAAAGTCCTTTAAATTGTTTGCCTTGATGTGGAGTCTAGACAAATATGGAATGCATAAAAATGGTCAAAATGGTCAAAATTGTAATTTAAGTGATAATTAAAATAAATCATATCCATAGTAGCGTCCATGTTTAGTATTGTGTCACTCTTGAGATGTAAAGTTATAGTTGGAGCTATTACAAACATTAAGTCTTTTTTTCTTCAAGTTCAAAGCTAATGACTTCAAAGTCATAACTAAAGCATTTGGCAAATAATTATTTAATAGAAATAAGTCTTTAAAAATAGTACAAACAACTAATAATGCATCGAAAATATGAACACAAATTGATTTCATCATTTAATACTTAAACTCATTCTGTGATTACAAAATAACTTTTCAATCTTTCGTCAAAAACAGTAGACCATATACTTTCAAAACATAATATAGGGAAATATTACTTAAATTCTTCTGCACAGTGATAGTAAAAACAAATCTTCTGTGGGTCTACACAATAAATGACGAGGGGGACATTCCAAACAAATAAAATATAAACACGGATGGAAAGAGAATGACTATGAAATCATTTTCTTAATCCCATTTCATACATAGTACTATATTTCTCTCAGTCATGCAACACGATACTGAATCTATAATATACAGGCAAAAAATAATTCTGATAATTTTTTTTATTATTTTTTATTCAATGAATATATTTTTACTGAGAGCAAGTTTTTGGCAGAACTTTTTGACAATATAATATCACTGTTTTTACGCCCATTAATTGTCATATTATCTCTTCATCTTGACAAAGCCACATATGTAACACAGGTCAAAGATCATAGAGGGGAAAACATTCTTGTACAAATTTTTTGCAATTTTAGGGAGGAGACACATAACCTTAACATCCTCAACAAAACAACCCTGCCCCCATTCTGACAAATATTCAGCTACTGTGCCATTTTTAAAAGTATATAAACTTTTTGTGGCTATAGTGGCCTTCCATGATTCAAACAGTCTCATTTCAATGTTGTGTAAGAATTTGAAAAACACCATGATACCATAAAGAAATAATTTTTTCTAATGTTCTCAAAAGATTCCTTTGGAGAAAAGATCGCTGTATAAGCATGATACAACAGACAGGGCTCTCATGAGAAGCGGCATAGAAGAAGTAAACATAGCTTACAATAGAATAGGATGCTTGATATCCTGACAGCAAGATATAGATGGGTTGATGCAGTTTTGTTCAGCCAAAATCACATAATTTGACAATGTGATATCTATTAGGTGATATACCAAATACAAAATAGGAAATATATATCTAGTCTTTTAAATCCATTTTTCATTTCTATGTTCAAAATATTTATATTAATGTAGAATTATACAACAGGGATGTGATTCTAAATCTGCTGATTTATTCAACATACTTCCCCATGGACGTGTTTAAATACTGATTACAATTTCCCTAAGATAAGAAGATTTAAAAGACCTAAGATTGAAAATTCTAACTAAAGAACTAATTTTTAACTTAAAACAACTACAATATATAATCATTCAACTACACTTTTAAGTAGGTATCTATACAAAGAACATAAGTCTTGGACAAGAGCAGAATAAGTGGCATCCATCTCCAATATTTATTTCACAAAAACATAAGTTTGGAACAGGTATAGAAGAAGTGGTATCCATCTCCACAAAGGGCTACATTCCCAACACCAACTGCTGTGCTACCAATATATAGTTTGAACATATATTTTATATAAGGGTTTTGTTCAAATTCATTTCTTTAAAAGCAGTGAAATATGATCATTTCTTAACTTGTCAATTCTCAACAGCATTTACATTAACTCATTTAAAGCCTATCCCACCTGTATTTGGCATTTTAACAATCATTCACTTTTGACCCAAATAGCTCCAGTTGCTTTTTCAAAAATGCCCTACCTAAAATGATTGATTGATTGTTGGTGTTTAACTCCAGTTTCAGCACTATTGGTTATATTGTTGGGGTCAGTTTTTATTGTTGGAGGAAGCCGGAGTGCCTTGAAAAATCAACCGACCTTCGGCAGGAAAACTGACAATCTTATAAAAATAAGGAGATGAGGTATGATTGCCAATGAGACAACTATCCACCAAAGTTCAAATAAAGTGGATGTAAGCAATTACAGGCAACCGTACGGCTTTCAACAATGAGAAAAACCCATACCACAAAGTCGTCTATAAAAGGCCCTGACAAGAAAAATATGACACAATTCAATTGAGAAAACTAACGGCCTAATTTATAACAAAACAATTAACGTAAAACAAATGACAGATATGAACCAACAACAACCACTGAACTATAGCCTCCTGACTTTGGACAGGCACATAAAGACATGAACCAACAACAACCACTGAACTACAGCCTCCTGACTTAGGACAGGCACATAAAGACATGAACCAACAACAACCACTGAACTACAGCCTCCTGACTTTGGACAGGCACATAAAGACATGAACCAACAACAACCACTGAACTACAGCCTCCTGACTTTGGACAGGCACATAAAGACATGAACCAACAACAACCACTGAACTACAGGCTCCTGACTTGGGACAGGAACATAAAGAATGTGGTGGATTAAACATGTTTGTCAATTAAGATCTTTAAGGTCAAAATCAGGAAACTGAGAGAAATAAGCCAAAATCAGGTAGGGATGGGAGGAGTAATATGGTTGTCTCTTCAATGGTATAGACAGCAGATATTTACTTCTTTCCAAATGCAAAGATTAATCAGAAACACAAGGAGGTGTTGTACGACCAAGTACGTTCCCTTAAAAACTAATACAATATTTTGACAAAAAACCTGAAAAATCTGACATAAATTTTTCCCAAACAAGATAATATAACTTCAAACAACTTGGATGGGTTACTGTAACTACAATGAAATGTTTGAATGCCAAAGAAACATAGTTACATCAATGTTCACCTATCAAGGTGAAATTACAGTAAAACGTACTGTAAATTCAGAAAATACTGTGTGCATTTATTATTGCCATTTCAACATGACAGACTGAAATGTGAGAATAATTATTGTGATTACAGGAAAAGCTGCATACACAATAAACATGTCAGATTTCAGAATGCGAGTTCTTATTATTCTGATACTCACGAGTCGCATTTTTCACAGTAATAAAAACCTCACAATAAGTTCTGAATTTACAGCGAACTAGAATTGTCTATGTTTCAGCAGGGGATTTTTCAAATAGCACTAATGGTGGCCTAGGGATGATTGTGACTAAGTTTGGTTGAAATTAACGAACAAGTTTCTGAGGAAAAGATCTTTTTTAAACAAATAGAATCTTTGGACCAGGTGAGCTTTAAATGTTATTATAAATTATAGACTTTTTAAAAGTGAATAATATAATAGAGAAAGGAAACTGGGAATGTGTTAAAGAGACAACAATCTGACCAAAGAGCAGAAAACAGCTCAAACTCACCAATGGGTTTTCAACGCAGCAACAAATTCCCTCACCCGGAGGCATGCTTCAGCTGGCCCCTAAACAATAATGTATACTAGTTCAGCGAAAAAAGTTTGTTCAAATTTCAAATGTGGTTTCAAAAACAAGCCTCATATGTATATCTGTCCAAACCATATACCTGAGCTGCACAGTTGACTGATAATAGATACTTACCGGCACTAAACTTACCTAGAACCAGAGTGGGCCAATTTTCTAACCGAGCACACAGGCCCTTCAGGAATATCTGATGTAAAAACAATAATGTTTCACTGTGGAATAGAAAATAATATGTTAGAAAAAAGATTCTTCAAGAATAAAAAGTAATTGCACAATGAAAAAAATATCTTTATTATAATAAAGTGAATTTATAGTGTTATACAGAAATAAAACGTGTCAAAATAATAATTTGTAGAAATATACAAAGAAATAGCCTGGTCAATTATTTTTAAACAGTGGACAAGAGCACATGATACACTCATATTGAGCATTTTTTAATTTTTGCAAGAATAAGATGAAATATTTAGAAGTATATAATTTGAAGTTAGTAAACTGGCTCGGTAGAAAACAAGCATGAGTATATCCTAGACATATAAATATTGTGTCAAATATGTCTCTTAAAAGTCCTATAACTCTGGAATGACAAATCAGGTAACTATTGAAATCAAAACGGAGTTTTCATTTAGTAATCTAGACAATAGTAAAACAATTGTAGTAAATTGATCAAAGCATACTACAGCTTGTGTAAAAATTTGCTGTTTAGTAATTTGACGGTCCTATTACCAAAATTAAGCATTATCTTACTATCATCAATTCCAATAATTATGTAAAGTGTCTATTAAATCTTTCCAACCACACTCAAACTATAGTAAAACATGAGAAAATTTCAACTTAAATTTGACAATTATAGTCCTGTAATTCTGAGACAACAAACCAAAAATATTTTCAATTACAAAATATAGTAATATTAATCCAAAAAATCATGTAAAGTTTTGCTTTCAGAAAATAAAAATAAAAATTGGGGTCATGATACTCGTTTTCTTGCTTCAAAACAAAGCAGGTAAATTCATAACACATTCCTTTATAAAAGTTACTTTATCTGAGTTATCTCCCCTTATATGGCAAAGTTGAAAAAAATGAATGAAACAAAAGATATTGTGTATTTGTATAAAACAGTTGTAAAAATATGATAAAACACATCATTTTCTTCATTAAGATGAAAAGTCTAACAAATGAATAAAATTCTTCTCACAAAATTTAAACATTTCATTAAAGATCTAGACTAATTGTTTTGTGCTATTTTACAATCCAAGATAGTGGAAGACACCCAATTTACCTATTAAAAAAGGCATACTGGTGGGTGTGGATGGGGTCTACAGAAAAGAAAAAAAAAATGGAAAAAAAAAGCCCCAAAAAATAACGATTAGAGGATAATGGGTTGCTAAAATATAAAGAATAGAAAAGATAAAAATAGAAAAAAATGGCATAAAAAATTAAAGGATACAGAAATGATGTACCCCTCTCCATTTTTTCTACTTATCAGAACTATAATCTGATATGTCTTATTATAACTTTTATTTGCTGTAAAGTTGATTTTTTTTAGTAATGAAATTGAGACATTATGAATGGTTTCTAGGCATCACAGGCTGTAAAAAGTAAAAAAAGGTTCAAAATATTCAAAAAACTTTGTTGTAATTATGTATTCTAGTATTATACTTCCAGTGTGAAACAACATTTCTCCTCTCAAAATATTTAATTTCAAATTTTAATCTCAGCTTGTGGAGCATTTTAAATATTTAAAATTTGAATTAATACCGCATAATACAAGATACTGTGGGGTAAGTATTAATCGATTAATAATGAGAGACATAATCTACAACACTGTCTTTACCTGTTTAATAATGAGAGACATAATCTACAGCACTGTTGTTACCTGTTTAATAATGAGTGACATAATCTACAACATGTTATCTGTTTAATAATTGGAGACATAATCTACAACACGTTACCTGTTTAAAAATATGGAATTGACATCCTCATGAGATATAGGTGGTTTTTTAGATGATGCTGCCATTCTAAGAGGTCGTAAAAAACAAGTAACAAGGGTAGATAACTGTCTGTTGTATTCTTCTTCACATTCCACCATATTAAAAACAATACTATTCCTTTTGCGCATACTCTCTGCATGAGGAGAGCGTATGTATAATTCTACGATCTGTTTCCATCTTCTTCTACATAGCCAACCTCGGAAAAAACTCTGAACCTATAAAAATATACACTGTTTATTAAACATTATTATTACATTGGTAGCAATGAATTACATTGATTTCCCAGTCAAATAAAAACCGATAATTTCACATGTGAAATAAACGTGGTTATTTCACTCTCTGACGTCATACAACAATAGGCGTTGTCAAGACGTCGATAACGTCGGATCAAAACAAATTGTGAATGCGTAGAAAAAAGATATAGTTCCTTACATTTTCTACATTAATTTCATTAAAAAAAGCCATTTGCCAATGTAATAAAAAGAATAACTAATCAAAGAATTCAAATATCGAAAAATATTCAACTTGTGTCCGAACAACACTGATAATTAACTCATGCGCTACGCGCATTCGTGAATTAATGTGTTGTTTGGTCACTCGTTGAATATTTTTCTCTATTTGAATTCTTCGATTAGTTATTCTATAAGTATTTTATCTTCAAAGGATTGCCAAGGTTAAAGTGCAACTGGTTTCATTAGTTTTAAAAAGTTGACAAGAATTGTGACTTTATGCCAAAAGTTTCTCTAACTAACACTTAGGATAGTCTCCCCTAGTTTACAGAGTTTTTTTTGGCTGTTCTTTGTAACTCTTTCTCACTTTTGTTCTACAAAGTCTGAATTTATATTAATGAACTCATCCAATAACATTAATTTTTCAAAATCTGTAATTGTATGCAGTAAATTATCACATCTGTTTAAAACAAATTCTTGATTTAATTATTATCTATATTCTCAAATGAAAAATATATCACTATTTGAAATCTGGAGTTGTCTCCCTTTTGCCAGAATAACGTAGCTGACATAATCTACTTTATACATCCGTTAGTACAGTAGTGTCAATGCCTGTGTGGTTTATTTAAGAAATGAATTGTTCTTTTTGTAATTTCATCGGGTTGTAAAAGTGTTGACTGAAGCACATTTTGTATGACTTGCGGAAGCGCTTCATTCTAAAAATGTGTGCACGATCAACGCTTTTACAACCCTATCAAATTACTAAAAGAAGCATTCATTTCTTATAATCAAATTTTTATGCTAAGACCATGAAAAAAAAGTTTTATCAACTTTTTCTTTTATTTACCTGTGCACTTTTTTGAGATACTAAGATCTAGTTTATACATACCTTCTTAATTTTCTTTAACTCATCTGTTTCTTCGTCCACTGAATGATTTGATACTATTCTTTCTTTCTTAAATTTCTGCAACTACACAATTACAAGTAATTATCTTAAATTATTTGTGGATTATATACAAAATAACTGACCAGACAAATTTATACAATATACATGAAATACAGTGCTTGACTTCAGCAAAAAAAACTAGAGTTGATTTTGTAGTGCGATCATTTAGTCTGTTTGGTTTCTATCTATCTTCTTTAGTTTTAGCTCAAAACACAAAATGTGAAGAAAAAAAAATCCTCATTTAAGGGCAATAACTCCTATAAAGAGTGACAGTCTACTTACTATATCAGCAAAATTTGACTTGTTAGTAGATCTTGCCTTGCTGATCATGTTTGTGATTTAAAGTGTCTATTTATCTATTATAATTTTTATCATATAAGGCAAAACGCAAAAAAAATGGTAAAAATCGTCATTAAAGGGCAATAACTCCTATATGGAGTCATCAGACAATTTCCTCCATATTGTCTTAATTGTAAATCTTGTCTTGCTGGTCATTTTTGCTTATTTAAGTTTCTATCTCTCTATTATAATTTTTAAGATATAAGGCAAAAAGGCAAAAAATTGGTAAAGATCGTCATCAAAGGGCAATAACTCTAATAAGGATTCGACTGACAATTTTGACAAGGAGGGACTAGATACAACATCTATTGCAGAAAATGGTTCTTTCAAAGTTTCTGTAGAATTAATTAACAACTTCCATGGACTCAGGAAGATTTTATATTGTATAGACAACTGCTGTCTACTGTTGAATACTGTATGTCGCCCTTTATAAGTCTTACAGGTATTTTTGTCATTGCTAGCTGATTGACAAACACCCAGCATCTCCTTATATTCATAATCTTAAATATCTAGAAGTAAGTGTTTACGTAATGTTGTGACTTTGCCAATACAAGTTTACACAAGTCAACAGCAAAGTTAATGTATGTATCAATAAACAGTAAAGAGAAGAAAATCTATATATTGTGAATTATTTTCTCTGATTTAGTCATAATTACTCCAAATCATAAATCTAATCTATATGAAGTGTTATATGTCAACAATATTGGCTTTAATACTTGACGTCACGTGGATAAGGTTTCAATAACACATTATAAATAGGTGCTGTTTTCATCAAGTTTCATAAATTGCTTCCAGCCAATCTATTTAAAACAAAATGAAAACATCTAGTAACACAAATAGCCTTAAAGTTCAACTATTATTCCTAGATAATGCAAACATTTTGTCAACAACAAATAAAATGCTCCGCAGGGCGCAGCTTGATACGACCACAGAGGTCGAACCCTGAACAGTTGGGGCAAGTATGGACACAACATTCAAGCTTGATACAGCTCTGAATTTGGATTGTGATTAAATATTTGACACAGCATAGGTTTCTGACACAGAATGAATGTGGTCTAAGAACTTAAAAATTTTAAATTGGACATTCACCTATTATGGTCCAATATCCAAAATCTAAATACATGGTTAGAATCAGCATATCAAAGAACCCCATATATTCAATTTTTGTTGAAATCAAACAAAGTTTAATTTTGGACCCCGATTTGGACCAACTTGAAAACTGGGCCCATAATCAAAAATCTAAATACATGTTTAGATTCAGCATATCAAAGAACCCTTAGAATTCAATTTTTGTTAAAATCAAACTAAGTTTAATTTTGGACCCTTTGGACCTTAATGTAGACCAATTTGAAAACGGAACCAAAAATTAAGAATCTAAATACACGGTTAGATTCGGCATATCAAAGAACCCCAGTAATTCAATTTTTGATGAAATCAAACAAAGTTTAATTTTGGACCCTTTGGACCTCAATGTGGACCAATTTAAAAACGGGGCCCAAAATCCAAAAACTTAATACACGGTTAGATTCAGCATATTAAAGAACCCCAAGAACTCAAGAATAAAACCCCATTGAAATTGGTCAAGAAATAAGCAATTTATACGAAGTATCTTCTTTTGCACAATACTGTGCAATTGAATATTTCTTGCTATTGCGCAATACTGTACAATTGACAATTTCTTGCTATTGCGCAATATTGTGCTATTGGATATTTCTTGCTATTGTGCAATACTGTGCAATTGAAGATTTCTTGCTATTGTGCAATACTGTGCAATTGAAGATTTCTTGCTATTGTGCAATACTGTGCAATTGAAAATTTCTTGCTATTGCACAATACTTATTATATAATAATTTACACATCCTGTTTGGTGTGTATCTCCTACCATATCATTATTATTTGCTTTTAAATATAAATCAGAAATAACCAACTTAAAATGGAAAATTTTAAAAGAAAAAAAAAGGAAAAAAAAAAAAATACCCCCCCCTAAATTTTTTGAACCCCCTTATGATTCATCACCCCCAAACTCAATCCCAGCCTTCCCTTTGTGGTATGGTACCTTGCAGTACAATTTCAGAGAGATCCATACACTTGAACACAAGTTTACTATTGTCTGGAAACTAGAAAAATGTGTTTTTTGGCCCCTTTTTGGCCCCCAATTCCTAAACGTTTTGGGCAATTACCCCCAAACTTAAACCCAGCTTTCCCTTTGTGATATGGAACCTTGCAGTACAATTTTAGAAAGATCCATACACTTACACACAAGTTTATTGTCCTGAAACTAGAAAATTCTTGTTTTTTGCCCCTAATTCCTAAAGTATTGAGGCAATTACCCCCATCATCAATCCCAGCCTTCCCTTTGTGGTATGGTACCTTGCAGTACAATTTCAGAGAGATCCATACACTTGAACACAAGTTATTGTCTGGAAACTAGAAAAATGCTTATTTTTGGCCCCTTTTTGGCCCCCAATTCCTAAACGTTTCGGGCAATTACCCCCAAACTCAATTCCAGCTTTCCCTTTGTGATATGGAACCTTGTAGTACAATTTCAGAAATATCAAAACACTTACACACAAGTTATTGTTATGAAACCAGAAAAATGCTTGTTTTTTGCCCCTTTTTTGGCCCCTAATTCCTAAAATTTTGAGGCAATTACCCCCAAAATCAATTCTAGCCTTCCCTTTGTGATATGGAACCTTGTGGTACAATGTCAGAGAGATCCATACACTTACACACAAGTTATTATCTGGAAGTTACAAAAATGCTTATTTTTGTCCCCTAATTCCTTAACTGTTGGTACCATAACCCCCAAAATCAATCCCAACCTTCCTTTTGTGGTATTGAACCTTATGGTAAAATTTCATAGAGATCCATTCACTTAAACTAAAGTTATAGAGCAAAAACTAATGTGTCTTCGGACGACGACGACGACAACGACGACGACGACAACACCAACGTCATACCAATATACGACCGCAAAAGCGGTCGTATAAAAATAGCAAATCTGCAGGCATTACAAAACAAAAAACCTAGACAAGTACAATTTTCATGAAAGTCCAACATTTGCCTTAATTCTTGAATAGTTGGTTGAGGATTCTATATACTGGTATTAAAAATAGTTGTCTAACTACTCATGATAAGTAAGTTAGAAACTTCAGCAGTCACTGAACCATAAGAATGGGGTCAAAGACAATGGACAAAGCCAGATGGAAACTTCAGAACAAAAGGCATCTGTATACTGGAATAGAAGTATTCAGGTCTTCTATCATTTAAACTATTAAGCTTTTTGCAAACAGTTTATATTGTCACTACCACCGGATTTGCATCCCTTTGTCTCATATTCTGCAACAATCATTAAAGATGAGACAATAATCAGATAAGAATCTGCAGACATAATGAAATATAGTCAAGATGACTACTGTAATAGAATTCACAAGGACAGAATGATGGACATGGGTAATAATATACACTTAGTGGCAGGCAATAATAAATTTTGGGCTGACCAGGAGCTCTTACCAAATGCTGCATGACAAGTCCTTAGAAACAACATTGGGAATAAACCACTCGAACCTGCTTAAAAGCATAAATAGCTTATAAAACTATAGGCAATGAAAAAACATTGTCATGTGATGGCAATTAGAAACATCAATGTCATGTGTTGGCAATGACAAACATCAATAATATGTGATGGATATGACAAACATCTATGTCATGTGATGGCAATGACAAACTTCAATGGCATGTGATGGCAATGACAAACATCAATGTCATGTGATGACATTGCCAAACATCAATGTCATACATATAATGGCAATGATAAACGTATATGTCATGTAATGGCAATAACAAACATCAATGTCATGTAATGGCAATGACACACATCAATGTCATGTGATGGCAATAACAAACATCAATGTCATTTAATGGCAATAACACACATCAATGTCATGTAATGGCAATGACAAACATCAATGTCATGTGATGGCAATATCAAACATCAATGTCATTTAATGGTAATAACACACATCAATGTCATGAAATGGCAATGACACACATCAATGTCATGTGATGGCAATAACAAACATCAATGTCATTTAATGACAATAACACACATCAATGGCATGTAGTGGCAATGACAAACATCAATGTCATGTAATGGCAATGACAATCATCAATGTCATGTAATGGCAATGACAAACTTCAATGTCATGTAATGGCAATGACAAACATCAATGTCATGTAATGGCAATGACACACATCAATGTCATGTGATGGCAATACCAAACATCAATGTCATTTGATGGAAATAACAAACATCAATGTCATGTGATCACAAAAGCTCATCAAGACTTTTGGAACAGGAAGAATCAGGCTTTTGCAGAAATAACATGCCAAGAATCTACTCTAAAAATATAGCTCTGCCTATTAAATATTCGATAGCTGCTTCCTAAGAAGCATATCAATAGATTTTACCAGTTTTAGTATATGCCAAGAATGCCTGTGCTGTGATTCCCATAGCATATATCATTCTCACAACAAAGGTATTAAGCTGTGATAGGTATTAACTTCAGTTAATTATTTCTATAAAGTTATGATTTTGACATTATTAAGTTGTCTTTTTGGAAGGAAAGAGCACATGTTAAGTTGTACTAAATAAATGATCAAGCAGTAATGATTTACTATATAAATGATCATGCAGTAATATGATAAGTACAATTTTCCTTGTTTCTGGACAAGATAATCTTCTGTGGTTTATCATAACATCAATATCAATGTGACACTGAAACATTATATGTACTTTGGCATTTCATTACATTATAGTAATATGATATTGTCTCAAAATCGGTTAAAGGATAGTTTATCATCAACTCCTCATTTCTGGATGATAAAAATAAATCAATATAGGAAATAAATCTTTTAATCAAAATTGAATCCTTAACATGCTGAGAGCAATACTCTTTCTGTTAGACAAAACAGTTACTTTGATATCAGATGTGTTTTATTAGGAAATGATTTCAGAATGGAATTAGGAATTACCAATACAGTGAGATCTAGGGGTAACCACCAACGAGACAGCAACCTAACAACACAAAGCCAAGATGACATCTAACATACTGTCTATAACAATCAAAACATGTCTATAAAATATGTTCAGCTTTAAATGGTCCATAAAGGTTGTGAATAAATTTAAATGATACAATGATTATGTCCATATTTCTGCATCATTTTAGACAGCTGCTTTTCTGAGATATTTTCGTCTTAATTCATGTTTTGGTGTTAACTGAAGTTATGGGGTTATCTAAGTTTAGGTTTTAACCTAAATGTGGCAAACAGTTTAAGTTGTTTTGAACAAACAGTTTGAAAAAAAAGGTTTCATTTGCTTCATTTCAAATACTTCTATGTGCAAAGTTAGTTTTTTATCATCAGAAAAAGAATATATTGATGTGCACCAGAACCAGAACACATGTCTATAAGTTTTCCACATATTACATCATTATACCTTTCAGTCAATTATTAGACTTACAAACTGCAAATTGCTAAAACAGTCACACCAAGAAGGTTAAAGAAAATTGTAAGATTTTAGGTTAAATGGGCGCTTAACTCAAATGTATTTTAAAATTTATCAAATTTGCAAAGTTAAATATCAAATCTATTTACAATGTCAATATAACAATGGCACTTTAGTTAAGATAATTCATTTTCATGGGTTAAACAACCATTATTTACATTCTCAATTTTATTAAATTACAATCAATTTCAGGAAAATTATACAAGTACACAAAACTCTAACTGCTAATCTGAAACATGCTAAGATGTACTATCATAGAGTGCAATACTCATATATAAAATATTCACAGTGTCTTTAGTGCTCCATGTTATTATAATTTAGCCATAATGCTTCGTAAATACCTATTCCTAATTTCTGGCCAATTTTCCTAATGATTTCAAAGTGTGTCATTTTCTGTAGGTCTTTGTGGAGAAGTTTTTAACAATGGGATAAATAAGGTTATCAAACCTTATTTTTGTATCTTTAATGAAGTTATGGTTGGCAAGGGAGATTAGCTGTTAAATGATGAATGACAACTAATTAGTTCCAATCCATTGCATTCTTGGAAATTAAAGATCATATCCAGCATTCTTTGGAATTAAAGAGCATGTCCAGCATTCTTTGGAATTAAAGATCATGTCCAGCATTCTTTGGAATTAAAGATCATGTCCAGCATTCTTTGGAATTAAAGATCATGTCCAGCATTCTTTGGAATTAAAGATCATGTCCAGCATTCTTTGGAATTAAAGATCACGTCAAGCATTCTTTGGAATTAAAGATTATGTCCAGCATTCTAGGAAATCAAAGATCATGTCCAGCATTCTTTGGAATTAAAGATCATGTCAAGCATTCTTTAAAAAGTAAAGACTCCTTGGTTCACTCAGTTTATAGGGTCATGAACTTAAGTCTCAAGTGGCAGTCATAACAATAATTGCATCCAAATATGGTTTAAAATGATCAAGTTGTTTAAGGGAAATGAAAAAAAATGATGACAGATGAAAGAAGTGACTCCTATTAGCAAATCATACAACATTCACTACACTGCTTAAAGTACAAAGTCATTATGGGACATATAAATACTTTATATATTCTTTTTTCCGAGTTAACTGATTTTTGCAAATTTGGCAATGCAGATTAATTTGAGTGTATTTAATTTCGCAGTATTATGGAAAATATCAAAACATAAATTATGGACTTAAAATGTAGTTCGTTAATTATGCCTTTTTTTGCTTAACAATTTAAAACAAAATATACAAAGATTATTCGATAATCAAAACAGTCCTATGTCTCTTAATTCAATGGTATTAATAGGCATGTAATCAGCATTTGTATTCAAATGTATTTATTTTTGCGAAATTTATGAAATTAAATATACCACCAAAAAAAGTCCATATATACAGTAATCCCACGAGTGACAACCAATGTAACAATGGGATACAGCTGTCACTAACCTCTGTTCTAATTTTTTTAACCTCCTGACCAAGTTCTTCAGTCTGTTGAACATACTGCCATTTTGACTGTCTTTCACTGTCGAGGATCTGAAGGAGATGGAGATGTTTTTGCTCCAACTCTTCTTTTTGTTCCAATACTTTACTATATCTGAAAATATAATTCCACATTAACTTTTTTGAAAGTTGGGATTGAGGTTCTAAAATTTAGGAAATAATCATAAATTAATTCGGAATGTATCTACATCATGCATGCATCTTAATTCTGTCAAGGTTTGGTTGGAATTTTGGTCCTATTTGGTTTTAATACCCTCAATGTTTGTATAAGGTTTTGGATTTGCAAATATTTTGGCCTATAGCCATTCTTTACTGTTTTACTTGCATCCTGTTTTTGTTTCTTTTATATTTCTGTCATGAAAGTTATAATGGACATTAGATGACTATAAGACATGAAAGTTATAATGGACATTGGGTGACTTATAAGACATGAAATGACATATAACTTACTAGTTATAGTCTATAACTTGTTGGTAATACCTCACTCATGTCTCAGTCTCCAATGCAAGTCAGTAGCACTGTTGAGATTAGGAAAAGAATTCCACTCAAACAGCTGTTATGTGTCCTCTTAAAATATAAGTGAGGTGTGATCCAGTTATTGCTTAAGAACAATGTGAAAATTGTTCCTTTGCTATTGTTTAGTGCATGCAGGGATATTGTGCCATGAATTAATGGGAAGTCTCGTCTCAGTTAAACATGATGTCTACTGTGCCACAAAGATGAAGCACAAACCAATTAAACTCCAATAATGAGTTGTTTTAAGTACACAAAGTGCACCTAATACATTGTTTTGTAGTATCTACCATGTGTTACATATAAATAACACAAACAGCACACATCATAACAGTTTTGTAAGGTCAAAGATTGAAATAATCATACAAGTCCTGTTGTCAATGAATAATATTCATCTTCACAACATTTATAAGATAATTAGCTATCAAGACAAGAAAACCATTAGGTTTGAGCAAATTTTACAAAAACAAGAGGCTCTCAAGAGGCTGAATCGCTCACCTGTAATTTTTTGCTTAAATCTTTCATCAATGATTATTTTTGCTTTTCAATATATATTAATGAGTTGCTTAAAAATGTCATTTAAATGTTCTTTGTATCTGTCATATTTTCTTCAAAAGCAAAAAAATGCCTTTTACCCCATGTTCCATATTAGCAAAGTTAGAAAACATGATAAACAAATTGTGTAAAATTGTCCTTAAAGGGCAATAACTCCTTTAAGGGGTCAATTGAAATTTTGGTCATATAAAAATTATTTGTAGATCTTACTTTACTGAACATTATTGATGTTTACAGTTTATCTTTATCTATAATAATATTCAAGATAATAACCAAAAACTGCAAAATTTCCTTAAAATTACCAATTTAGTTGCAGCAACCCAACAATGGGTTGTTAGATTCATCTGAATATTTCAGGGCTGATAGAACTTGACCTAATGAACATTTATACCCCAGTCAGATTTGCTCTAAATGCTTTAGTTTTTGAGGTATAAGCCAAAAACTGCATTTTACCCCTATATTCTATTTTTAGCCATGGTGGCCATGTTTTTTAACGAAACAGAAAATAAAACAAAAACTTTATTCTAGATACCCTAAGGATCATTTAGCTTAAGTTTGGTTGGAATTGGTTCAGTAGTTTCAGAGGAGAAGATGTTTGAAATAGTTTACACCGGACGGCAAGCGACGGACGACGACAGATGCCAAGTGATGGCAAAAGCTCACATTTCTTTTGGAAAGGTGAGCTAAAAACAGACATGTTTAGTGTCCCAGAGTTTTTTGGCTCAAGAAGGATACACAAACAAAAAGACCTGATTAAAATAATCGTTTTGTGCGAAAAATTTATCCTTTTTTTCCAGATCTGTGATTCTACAAATCCAAGAATTCATCCAGTTTGCAAAAATTTGTGTCTTTGCTGTCTTGCATAATATCCAACAGATGAAGTCTGTGGGATGTGTTTAGTACTCACGGCGCTCTTTTAACATTGTCAATCCATGCATTGCACTCAGCTTCTGTATCTGTCCGTAGATCATAATGTCTCTGGCCTTCATTCTTATAGGTTATTGTAAAACAATACTGAAATAGAATTAAAAATATTTCAACTGACCATTCACTAAACACTTTGAATTGAAGAACATTTTGCTTTAAATATACATTTTAATAAGGCTTCTCCTCTAATTCAAACATCAAGTATGTAAACAAATCTGTCATTTCATCTACCAAACATGGATTAAACGTCTTCCAAATATGGACTAAACATATACCAATGGATGTAAGGCCATCAACAATCAACATGATGGGTCGTCCCCCCCCACCTCAAATGTTCTAAATTTTGTTCTAACAACTTACAATAAGCTGAAAGATTATTTATATAAGACAAGAAATTAGTTAATATGCATAAAGAGCCATTCACTTCAAATGGCTTTTGACAACAGCACTGGCTTACAAGACCCTTTGTTACAATTACAAAGCCCTACCCGTCTCATCTATACAAACGTTATACATATCAGGTTAATATATTCAGACTACTGGTACGTTTTTGCAGATTAAATTTAATTTGAAAGTTGTTATCCATGAAATAAAAGTAAACTAAATTTACTCAAATTGTGTGCAGGGATTGCTTCCCTTGATTAGTAGATGCTTAGACAGCTGTAATCAATTGAGATAGGGAAGTACTTGGTGAGAGCACTGACCATGAACACAGAGATACTGGGTTTGAGTCCCAGAGGAGACAATGTGATTTTTAAGTGAGAATCATGTTCACCCAACTAAAACTGTGGTTAGAGGGGATATCTCGTTAGGGTTTTTATTGTGAAGAGTCATAATGGTATAAAAGACTCTTGAGGTGGGGGAAGTGTGACAGGATTGCTTCCCTTGAGTTATAGATACTTGGCTAGTCATTTGATCTAGAGAAGTACTTCTTTAGCTCAGTTGGTTACTCACAGAGGTTTGAGTCCCTGAGGTGACAATGTAATTTTCTAGTGAGAATCATCATGCTCTCCAGTTACAATTGATTAACTTGTACGTAATGGTGTATGGTTTGCTTTTAATGGTGTATTTTGTATTTATGTTTATTTTCAACCTTTATTCCATTATGATGTAACTGATCTGTTGTATTTTCATGGTTTTCAAATTATCCTCTGCTTTTGCATTGGATACAGAGTGTACCTTTCTCTATTAGCTTTTATGCTGCTGGTGTAAAGGCTCGTGTTTCTGTGTGTTCTAGTTTGTTTAAAAGTTAATTACTTAATTACAATGTGTAAAGTAACTATGCATATATATCTAAAATTTCATCACAATTAAAAAGTACATTTGTTCATCAAAAGGGTTTAAATCAAAGGAAAATAGCAATTCTATACAAAGCTATTTTAAGATAATTACCATGGAAATTAGGTTAATTCATTGCTATAACAGTAACATAATCAGCCAGTAGACCTACAACTTTTGATTTACCATATGAGCAGACAAACAATGGAGAAAAATCCAGGGAGAAAAAATATATCATCAATTAGTTGGTAGAATATATAAAGTCTGGTTTCACAAAGGCACTTATGTTGTATCAAGGGAAAGCGTGCAGAATACGGCTATGAATTTAAAGTTGACGTCTATGTACTTTATAAGTATAAATCTTCCCATGATACACTATATCAAATAACAATCATTTATGATCCAAAGACTTTAATTCAGTCATTCTAAAACCTGCTTGTTCATTTCCATGGTTATTGCCTTAATATTTAAATATTTATCTCAATTGTACTTTGTTGATTATAGGAACTCTGACAATAAAGTTGTAGTGCTACTACAGTGATGTGTTTTGTTTGCCAAGAGTCATTGGTTTTACATCATTGTCAATTGTATAATGGTTCAAGTGGCAACTTAGGAACATATGTAATTTTCCGTCTCTTAATCTAATTTGTATACAGAATAAATTGAGTTGCTGTACTTCTGCCAATAAGAAGTAACTTGTTGCTCAATAATTCTAATTTAGAGTCCATTAAATTGATTCTAATTCCAAAAGAAGACTGATCAAGCCATTATACAAACTCTCTGATAAATTTGTAAAAATAAATAATATTTGTTCACCAAAAAATCAATGAATCCTTCTTACAGCATTTTTTCCGTGCTAATTCACTGACATAAAACGGCAGTGAATCAAGAAAATAGTGCACTACCTTAAGGAAGGATTAAACAAGTTTGTCATTTCCAGTATTTTGTTTGAGGGGATTTTCTAATGCTGATTGAAACACTGATCTTTGTATAATGGATTCTTGCTATCGTAGAATTGGATAAACATGCTAAGCTTCTTAGAAATCAAATCGATAAAAAAGTAATAATTAATTTACCTAAATTTTGAAAACTACTTTATAATTTCTTTGATATTTATTCAATTTCTTTGATATTTATTCAATTTCTTTGATATTTATTCAATTTCTAAGATTTTTATTCAAAGTCCAACATTTTTTCTAATAAAAGATCTTCTAGAAAATTTAATTACATTTTCCTAGATTTGCTTATAATGATGAACCTATATTCAAGCACTTCAGACAGGAAATGACATTTTACATACCATATTTAATGAAAAATAATACTTTATAAATCTGGTGCGTTCAAAGCATTGTTCTGGATTAGTGTGCATCAGGATGTTCAATCCCAAGAATATGAAGCCATGTAGGATTGTATAAATACTAGAAAACTTGAGAGGCTCTATGACCAAAAAGGACCTTAAAAGAATAGACCAAATTCTCTAAAGGTTAACTTTGCCTGAAAGAGTCTGAACTTTCTACTTCTTAATAATTTCTTAACTCATTGAAGGAAAATTTATTATGGTACAGCTAGAAATCCAACTAGTTTTCGAGAGCAAATAATTTACATTACTCTCCCGAGTAGAAAACAATCTGAATATAAATTTTCCAAATATATGTCAAACTTCAGGGTCTTCTCGTACAAGAATTCATCAACCTTATTAGAAAATCAGGAAACTTTATTACCACAAAATCAGTTAGAAAGGACTAAACGCAAAAATAAAGTATCCTAGAATTCAGTGCAATGGTTTACAGTATATTATAAATCATACAACTTCCAAAGCACTGAGTAATGAGTTGATGATACCCTTGATGACAAGCATTCCACCACCTATAGGTACTACTTTTAAGTAATGAGTTGATGATACCCTTGATGACAAGCATTACACCACCTATAGGTACTACTTTTAAGTCTTTTGTCAGTTTATATTTGCACTTTAAAGGCTGAAAATAAGTCTATAAAACAGAAACTGATAAGAAACATTTTCATAATTTTATGAAACAAAAATACAACAGGTGATAATTAAGTGTTGTATTCTAACATATTCCTCATTGATAAAATGATTTCAGACCAAATTACAATTCAAGCACTTAGAAAGCCACTTTTATGAATTATTAAGCTGACAGAACAGTAACATCCCTAGAATCAATAAAGTAATAATATAAATGTTACTTATCATATTCCATATTTAGCATATTTATATTTTAGACTATCAATTTATATTTGTAACCTTTAGCAAATGGAAACATTATTAATTTTTAATACCTGAACCTGTCAAAAGAAATCATTTTCACATTTTTATTATTTGATCTTTCAAGCTCAATTGAAGTCTAGCCAATCTGACATTTAGAAAAGACAGGTAGACTTAAGTACTAGTGGTAAATTATTGTTAATATTAGTTGATTTATTAAATAAACTGTGGACAGAAAATTCAGAAAAAAACAATCTGATGGACAGCAACATTGGTAACAATGATGCTGCTGCCGCTGCAGGAAAAAGCAACACCTATGTCTCGCCTTCCGTGACTTTTGTGACAGGCCAGACAAAAACATGTTGAGTTATCCCTAGAGCAGTTGATGGTGGTTGATATATTTAGCATTATTGGCACAATATAATTCATCAATAGAGACGTGGTAACTTCTTGTGTACAATGGACACACCTTAACATCTTTTGAGCAAGGGTTGTGCTCAAAAACATAACTAAGCAGGAGAGGTCAAATAGTCAAGATTTGGGGCTAATTCAACCTTTTACTTCTGACATCTATGAAATTGCAATGGTAAATTGTTTTATCAAAATACAGAGATTCAACATTTGCTTCTGCAAATCAGATGAAATTGTAATGGTAAATTGTTTTATTAAAATATGATTTATATTTCCTTTTACATAATTTTTTTGTGTATAATTTTTCTTAAATAATTCTTGTTAGTAATTTTGTAATAAAGAGAAGTTGTAATATTTAAAACTTATTTGAATTTTTTAATAAAAATCATGCAAACATAAAAAGATAGTATCTATCATAACATGTACAAACTATTTCTGACATGGAGTTTCAATTTTCTAATACATTCACAAAGACTAGTGATGGTTGATTTTTGCTCATTGTGTGACAATTAACTTCTACATGACAAAGGATGGCCATAGCAAGTAGTTGATTTGTAAACAGTATCTTTCCACAAGATTTCATCTATTTTTAATGAGGATGGCTTTTTCTAAGGATGTCATTGTTTCATCTCCACCGATTTACAATTCCGTGGAATCGATAAAACTTTCCTCCGATAGCTTCCAGCCAGTCACATCATTAATAAAGACTCAAGTTGTCTTCCTTCTTCCAATTAAGACAAATGACTCTATACCTGTTTTACAAAGTGTTAATTACAGGAACCAGTATAAGAAACCAGAACCTGATCATGTAATTGATCATTTGTGTTATCTCTGACAGAAAAACATTATGTATTACATAACAATGTGCAATCTACACACAAATGTATCATACTTAACTTTCACTTGCTAATATTTCTGAAAATATAAGTCATATCTTTCTATATTCCCAAAAATGCCTGATTTTGTGTACCCCGATATATTTTGTCAAAAGGTCTATGTGTATACTGTTTTATATGATGAAAATCATTGAATAATAATATTTCAAATGTACATTGAGTAATTATTTTTTATTTCATAGATGTTTATTAATGTATATTCAGTAATTATTTGTGATTTCATAGATGTTTATTAATGTATATTCAGTAATTATTCGTGATTTCATAGATGTTTA